AGTTCATGTGCAAAGAAAGGGGAATTTAAGATACAGGATGAGAAAGAAGCTGGAAACATCAGAGATAAATCATTACTAAGGAGGAGAGGGGAGAAAGAGCCATGGTCAAAATCCATTATGAAGGATTTAGAAACCCTAGGATTATTTACTTTTCTATGCCCACTGATACACTGCTTAAGTATCATCAACCATCAGTAGTTTTTGCTATTGATATTTAATGATGTTTCCAAGATTTCCAATACATTTAACAAAACAGCACCCTGAACCTTATCAGAAGTCTGCTTTGCTGATCTACCATGAAATACTATCTAGACCGGGAGTCAGCAAAATTATTCTGTAAGTAGCCAGATAGTAAATATTTCAGGCTTTAGGGTCTCTGCTGTAACTATGTACTCAGCTTTGCAGGTAGAGCACAAAAGCAGCCATAGACCATATGTAAATGAATGCATGTGACTGTGGTCCAATAAAACTATTCACAAGCATAGGCTGCAGGCTAGATTTGGCCCATGGGCCCCAAATTACTGACCCTTGATATGGACCAATATCCTCTTTATCAATCACTCAATATCTTCCTAGTATTTTCTCTTGGCTCCTCCTACCAATTTAGGTTTGAATTTCACTTATATATGAACAACAAAAACTGCTCACTCCTGGGAAATTATTTTGAAATACATATTAAAATATTAATGACATATAATATTGTCAAGTCCATCTTTCTTTTAAAGGGTAATCATTGTCATTTAAAAGTACTGTCTATATGCCCCCTTACATAAATCTTTTAATTAAAATATTTTGAATGATAGGTAAATTTTCAACTGTCCAAAAAGTAAAAAAAACACCCCAACAAAACAAAAAAGGAAGACAATTTAACACACTGACTGCCACACTAGAAAAAAGTTTTCCTTGGGGCCATGGTGTTTTACTACGAAAACAGAGTAAAAACTTGGAAAACAACACAATCCTTTCTAATTAAATGAAAACTTTGTTATTTTTTTATTGTTTCCTGTGTGTGAGTTATATGCAATTAAACTGTCAATATTAATTCTAACAATAAGAACATCAACAAGTAAGATTTTCATGAACCAACTGCAGTTACATATGTTTCACAAGGCCCCCTGGGGCTCAAAACTAGCGCGAGTTAAATACAACTCACATGGCAGTTAATGTGTTAAAATTTGTTATTCTTAAAAAAAAAAAAAAATCCCTATGGGACTCTTCTACTTAAAAGCCTTCTTTGGCTCCCCACTTCCCTAGAACAAACTCTTTATCATAGCATACAATGTCATTCATAAGTTGGCCCTAACCTAACCTTTCTATTTTATTTCCTATTATTCTCTGCTCACTCTTTCTACATAATAAAACATGAAAAACAATATTGTATAAAAACTTGCAGGAGGAGATCAACTTCAGGATAGTAGTTACTTCCGAAAAAGGGAGAGAGAGAGAGTACTGGGGTGGGGTGCCTTAGGGATTTCAACTATACCTGAGGTTTTTTTTTAATGATGATAATAACGAAAATATTAGATAAAGATCTGAAGCAAATCTGGCAAAATGTTAAGATTTGACAAAGCTAAGTGGTGGGTAAAAGTTTCATTCACTATACTTTTCCATTTGCTTAAAACAGAGGTGGACATGGGCCAAATTTGGCCCACTATCTGTTTTTGTACATCTTGGAGCTAAGAATGGTTTTACCTTTTTAAAGTGTTGTTTTAAAAAAAAAAAAAAAGGCAAAGAAGACTGTGTGACAGACACTTTGTGACCAACAAACTCTAAAAAATTTACTATCTGGCCCTTCACAGAAAAAGTTTGTCAACGTCTGGCTTAAAATATTTAATGCAAAGCAAAGATTAAAAAAAAAAAACAAGACAAGTAGGGAGGCAACTGGGTAAAGGAAGAATGGTTTGTCTTCTTGCATTAAGTGTCTTTGTGAACTAAACATTTTATATTACCCTTTTTTTTCTTGAGACAAGGTATCATTCTGTCACCAGGCTGGATTAAAGTGGTACAATCCTAGTTCACTGCAGCCTCAAACTCCTGGGCTCAAGTGATCTTCCTGCCTCAGTCTCCCTATTAGCTGGGACTACAGGTGAATGCCACCACACAGGCTAATTTAAAAAATTTTTTTTTGTAGAGACAGGGTCTTGCTATTTTGCCCAGGCTGGTCTTAAACTCCTGGCGTCAAACAATCCTCCAGCCTAGGCCTCCCAAAGTGTTGGGATTATAGGTGTGAGCCACCACACACAGCCTTATTTATCTCTTTAAATTAGCTGTTCATTAATTACTTTTTCAACTTTTAACAAGAAGAAATCTCATCAAGTTTTATTCTATGATATTGGAACTTATTTAAAAGAATGGCAGGAGACAGTATTTTAATAAGATTTTCATTTCAATCCATACTTGTCAAAAAAACTGGGAAGCAGGTTTAGAGCCCAGTGCAGCATTTTTAGGCAGCTGTACTTAGACAGGGGGACTAGAGGGGACCTGCTCATGAGCTATTAGCTGGCACAGGAGGGGTGTTGCTTGAGCATTTTCTACTTTCTACAGTCCATCTCTTTTAGGAGAATTGGCCTCCTTTTTCCCACAGAAGATAATGGGGGAAGAGGGTTGAATAATATACAAAACACTGTATCATATTAAGAGTTTTGGGTTATAATAATTTTAAGGCATTGGAATAGGTCATCAGAGAAAGTGGACTTTTTTCCTTTAATGAGCAGACACATTACTGTGGGGAAAATAGTGAGATAATACTTTTAAATGTCTTAGCATGCCTTAGCTCACAATAACTAGCTCTCATGATATTATCATTCTGAGGTTGCTATATAGGTATTTTCTTTCCTTTATAAAATATTGAGCACATCACTATTGTCTGTTTATTGCTAATATGCCATGTGAAAAAAAATCCACATGAAGGGAGTTTTTTCTTATTTTTGTAATTAATACCCACATTTTCTCCTCCAGCATTGACCCAAGTCAACTAAAGATATTACCACTTGTGAATCAACAAATGAGACAAAGACACTAAGTGATTTCATAGAAATGCTCAGTTAACATCTAAGGATATTCAGACTCAAATCATCATTTAATAAACTTAAGTATGTATTGTTTTAAAATATAGTGTCACTAATAATTAAAAACGTCCACAGCAGAATAGCAGCCTCAAAACATATGCAGGTTGAATATTCCTTATCCAAAATGCCTGGGACCAGAAGTGTTTCAGATTTCGGATTGTTTCAGATTTTGGAATATTTGCATATGCATAATGAGAGATCTTGGGGATGGGACCCAAGTCTAAAAACAGAATTCATTTATGTTTCATAGACACCTTATACACAAAACCTGAAGGTAATTTTATATCATATTTTTAATAGTTTTGTGCATGAAACAAAGTCTTGACTGCCTTTTGACTGCAACCTATCACATGAGGTCAGGTGTGGAATTTTCTACTTGTGGTGTCATGTTGGTGCTCAAAGTTTCAAATTTTGGAGCACTTTGGATTTTGGATATTTGGATTAGGGATGCTCAACCTGTACCAGGGAAAAATTCATCTGATTACAACATATATTTTTTTTTCCCCTACTCACATGAAAACTTCAATAAGAAGCCTAAAATAATATGTAACTTGTTTAACTTGGCCACATGAATACCACCTCTAATATCTTGTTTTTTAAAAGAAATTTACTACGTAATATTTGAGAATATTCAAAAGGCATAAAGAATATGACAAAATACTTATGGATTCACCACCCAAATTATGAAATAGAATATTCCTAATACTACTGAAGCCTCTTGCACACCCTTCCTCAGTTGCATCTCTTTTCCTTCCCCCAGAGTTAATCACTGTGATGAACATAATATTTGATGTATTTCTTCATACTTTTTGTACAAATGTACACATCTCAAAATAATTCACATCATTATTTTACAACTTGCTTTTGTTGAATTGGCTTGATATCTGTGAATTCATACATGTTGACACATACAGTGCATTCAGGTGGTAGAGACAATGTTTAACAAATACGCTATATGCTTCCCTGTGTTTCTCAGATCTTAGGTTGGGATCACTGGAACTGTGAGCAGAAATGAAGTGTGTCATGTTTGGGACCAGGCAGTTAAAAGCACCACCCCTTTCTTCCCCTTCTTCAGTGAACTCATAAGCCAAGTATTCCAGATGGGGCAATGGGGCAGCAGTAAGAACATGGAGCCTCCAACAGTCTGGTCCTTCAGTGAGGTAGAGCAGAGCCCCTTGCTAACCCAACTTGCAATTCTGTTGTGCTAAGACACACATATACAAATGGGCAGATAAATGCTTTCCTGGGAGTAGTTAAAAGCAGTGCTATCAGTAGGGAATAGATTCAAAACCTTTTGAAAATACTTCTATGATTCTAGATTGATATTTATTCCATTTGCATGGAGAAGCAAATCTTAAACTCTAGTCTTTATTTCCTATGAAGGCCTACTGTACTAACAATACTTTCAGAGTAGTGTTTACATGCTCATGAACTGTTTCAGGAATATTAGTCTTGTCTCCTCAACTAGATTTTATGCTCTTTATGAATCATGTCTTCTCTTTTTTATACCCTGTCCCACACTGAACCTTAATAGGTCTACATGGGCATGTTGTAATGACTGGTCTCTTGGCTGACTGGGTGAGGGCTAATATTAGATGCCTACTTTGTGTAAGGCACCTTGCTTGTGCTTCGCATGAGTTATTTTCATCCTTATTATTTCTACCATAATGGTATAAGGATATTAAGGCTAAATAATTTTTCTTTGGTCATAGAACTAGAAGATGAAAGGTGTGGGGAGGGCAGTTAAAGCCAGTTTGACTCTAAGTCTTTGCTTTTTGCCGCCTGAACTCAGTAAGACCATGCCTAGTGTAGGGCAGGAGTTTTAGTAGAAAATAATATGGCTAACAAAAATAGTTTTTTTTTTAATAAATTTTGCAAACATTAAAACATTTTTTTTGAGACTTTTCAGGACTCAAGATTGTTGGGTCTTACCTTGATCACCTCTGGAGTTTGCTGAATCAAAACCATTGAAGTAGTATCTTTGGCTTTATCACCAACAGGACTTCTACAGCCTGATAAATTGGCCTGGGAAGAAGTTGTCAAGGTTTCCTGTAGAATTTGCATCATTTCCTTTTCTTGTGATAGGCTCCCTCTGCCTGATTTGCATTCAACCAATTCCTGAGCAAAGTCTTCAATGCTTTCCAGAATTCGCAGTAAGAGGGCTCGATCCTCCTCTTCTATTTTATGTCCATTGGTTTCAATAATCCTTGTTAGACAGGAAGGTGAGACTTTTTCCATGGGTAAAGAGACTTTAGATTTAGATTCAAGATCTATGGGGGTCTGACCAGTCAACTGACTATGACTATTTAGAGAATCAGAGTTTTTACTCTTGGCAAGTGGCTCTCTTAGAGAAGTTTCCATCTTCTGTGAAAAAGATTCCAAATCCATTAATAATTTATCTATCTCTTCCTGGCTATTAGAATTCATAAAATCTCTCTGGTCTCTGCTTTCAACTTTAGGACCTTTTGATTTACAGTCTTCCTTAGATAGATGAACAAATGGCTTCTCAAATATGTTACCAATTTCATTTTTTATGGAGGCAGGACATTTTTTAAGATGAGTATCATGTTCTGAAAATTCTGTTCTATGTTCATGTATCTTTAACAACTCCTCACTGGGTCCATTCTCTGTCCTTTGTCCTTTATCTAATGCTTTCTTTTCATCTGACTCTTCTTCAATATAAAGAGTTTCCATCAAGTCACCAGAAGAAACATTTTCTAAAGGATTCATGGTTAATGACTGTGATTGAAGCTGGACAGGTTTTAAAGTTCTGGGATCATTTACCTCTAAGTTACACAAGGAATTTGGGGAGTTGTTTGGAATGGATTTTACAGTGTCCATTTTCCTAGAATTTTGCTTGTCATCTTGCAGTTCAATAGTCTGAAACCGTCCAGAGGCAGGAGCTGAGAGCTGAACAACATCTTCATATTTAGGGGGCTGTTCGTTGCCAAATATTGGTGAGAAAGGAGTTAGTTGTAAGCTAGGCATATTAGTGACCAGTTCTGTTAAATCTATAGCCTCATTATTCCCAGATTTCATGAATTCAAATGGTAACTTTTTCAGATAGGATGCTAACCTAGTCATTACATTCATATAGACAGTTTCAGAGCTAGAAACTGCATCATTACCACTCCCTTCATTGATGCTACCTCTTGACTTTTTCTTTATGCATTGTTTTATAATGTCTGTGCATTTTTTCAAATCCTCAGAGCATTTCAGCAAGATGTCCAAGCATATCTTTATGTCTGTCCCAGAAGAAAAATTATCTATTTTATGTTTTTCCAAAATCTGAGTAACCAGATCTTCTTCAGAGAAGTTTTGAAGAAGCATGGAAGTCAGGTTTGTATCAAGTGAGTTTCTACAGGACAAAGATTTTTCCTCAACTGAGGAACTCCGTAGTAAACCAAAGGATGGGGAGTTCCCATCATTGTTATAATGGCCACAGAGCAAGTCAAAATCAACTGACCTCCTATTAAATGAGTCAGATTTAACTTTTCTTCCCTTTCTGTAAGCTGCATGGTTAGAGTTTTTGAGTTTTTCAAGGGAAAACTCTTTTATTTTCCCACTGGCAAAACTGATTGCTTCTCCTGCAATGTCCTTTAAGTTACAGGTATTCTGAAATGTAGATCCTCTCTTGACCCTGGGTATGCCTGTGAGGGCCTGATGGGGATAGTCACCTTCGGCCGAGGAAAGCCCATTTTCATGGGGTAGAAACATAGAGTTCAGATGTGCATCTTTGAACGGAGACACAGGGATGTGCAAGAGGTCTGCACAAACACTATGATGTACCACAATGCAGTCAACTCCATGTGTGAAGGTGTGGCAGGTTCCAGTGCAATAATGTATAGCTTGCTCAAAACGCCGGTCTATCACCACACTGCTGTAGTGGTTCACAGTGCTAACCACAAGTCTGTAAGTTGCTGCCATAATATCAAATCCACTTAGTGGTGGAACTTGGAACTTTCTAGAACTTGTTTCAAGAAAATTCTAAATGGCACTTATCTGGAAATATATTTAATGACAACATTCAGTGGTTTCTTGGAAATATAATGACTCTTCCCAAGAAGGGAAACCATCTAAATTTGAGGTTTGGTAACTATTAGGATACAGTAGCTACTGCACATGTGTGCTTGTATTAACAAATCTAATAACTAAATAATTGTGCTTTTTAGTTTTATTTAGTAGTATCATGATACTACAGAATTATTTTTATCAAAGAATATCCTCTTAGTTCTTCAACAGTTCTACATGTAGAAATTTACTGTCATAAATTTACTGTCTTAAATCTTAGTTGGTAGTATAGAAGTATTGTGATAACTGAGTCCTCCGAAGGTTTAAATGATCCATTTTTCTGTGAATGACAGAGAAACCTATAATAAAAAAAAAGAAAATTAAAAGGAAATATTATTTCTTAATACTGGAACTTTTAATTTCCTCTTTCTTTGCATCACATATGTAGATAATCACCAAGCCTTATTCTCTGCCATGTCACTGATTGCTGATACTCTACTCATGCCTTTGTTTCATCACACCCTACACTCCTTGCTACCTAGAGTAGTAGTATCTCAACTCTGCCTTGTTATAACTGCCTCTAAGCTGATATTTCTTTTCCCACTCTCCTTGCCACCTTACAATGAGACTAGCAAGCTTAGACTGAGACAGCTTTCTCATCCCTCACAGCTCAAGAATTCACATTACCGATCTCCATCATGGATCATGGCAGGTCTACCTCTTTTGACTCACTTTAAAGTCCTTCAACATCTGTTCTCATCTACCTATATTTTCTACTACTCCCCTGCACCAACTTTTTGTTTCCATCAACCTAATCTTCTCAAAGACTGACAACACACAGTGCCTGTTCTTGATTCTGAAATTTCCTCTATACTTGGAAATTATTCTCCCATGATCCTTTCTTTTCTTACTGAGAGAAAAACAACCTTTATTATTGCTCTTGATCCCATCTCCCAGACCCTGCCACATGCAGATCTTTCTCTCTCCATCAAGTGGATGGAATTTACTTAATCGTTATCTTTTTAAAAAATGGCTTTTAAAACATGTTGTTGCTTTCCAAAAAGATTCTGTCAATGTATTCATTTAATCAACAAATATCGAGTGCCTACCATGTGCCAAGCTCTTTCTACATGATAGGGATACAGCAGTGAATAACACAAAGTCCCTGTCCTTATAAAGCCGACAATCTGGTTGGAAAAAGAAAAACAACATATAAGTTAAACATATAACTTATCAGATGGTAGTATGTCTTACAGAGAAAAATGAAGGAGAGCAAGAGTTTAGAAAGGCTGGGAGGGTGCTGTTTTATAAAGGGAAGACCTCGCTGACATCTGAATAGAGGCCTGAAAGGAGAGAGGGAGCAGGCCAACAAGGCATTAAGGGGTAAATCATCTTAGACAGAGTAACCGTAAGTGCAAAGGCCCTCCCTGAGGTGGAGCATGCTTGATTTACTAGAAGAATGACAGAGACTAAAGCGCTTAGAGCAGAGAAAGCATGGGGGACTGCGGGGAACATGGTCAGTGTTCCCTGCAAAAAACCGGGTCCCTTTGGTAGAGTTGCAAGGGATAAGAAAATAGTAGAGAGAAATGGAAAATGGAAGAAATAAAAGAATACACTGAGACAAAGATATAGTTTTATAAGTTTATAAAGATTATAGGCAAAGTGGGAGCTCAGGGGGCTCGGACCTCTCCGTTGGTCTCAAAAAGCCCCGAATGAGGCCTTACATGGTAACTTATAGGAAATAGTGAACAATTGTCAAGGGTAACAAATTTATATAACAACAGGTAGTTCTTCTCAGGTTAACAGATTTTCAAAAGGCTTTTACAGAAGGCTTCTACAGATTCTTTAACTAATTCTATTTACGTGGGCAAACGGTTTTAAAGTCTTTCAAAGGTTAATTTCTAAATTCTAAGGTAAGTTTATCATTTAAACAGAGGGGTTAAACAGAGATATGTAAGCTCCATGTTTATTAGGTTATTGTGAATGGAGACAGGTAGTCTAGAGTGGTTTAAACAAAAGCTTTGCTTTTGGCCATTTGGGAAGCTGTCCTTTCTGGGAAGCTGCTTGTTCCAGAGGGCACTCCATTGTCAGCTCTCAGCCTATAGTTTTTAACAGATTCGCTTGTGCTTTACAAAGCAAATCCAACTCTTTAGGTCTGAGAAACACGGCGCCTGGTGGGATACAGCCGCTACTGCCTTTCAGAGACGCCCTTCCAGTGTAACAGCATATAAAATGCAAACCAGCACATTCACCTATTCCTTCAGGGCAAAGCTCTGTAAAACTCCTAAGACAGATCCTGGCCCCAAACACGTTTAATACTAATTCATGGAGCAACAGGGGACAGCGTGGGAGATGAGGTCAGAAAGGAAAGGTGGGAGTCTAAATCATGCAGGGTCTGTCGACCAGTATGATGAAACTGGCTTTAACCCTGAGCAAGCTGGGAAACAACTGGTAGCTATTGAGCAGAGGAATGATATGTTCAGACTTACATTTTAAATTGGTGATTCTGGCTGCAGGGAAACAAGTTAGGGGCTATTGCAGTAAGTCAGGCAAAGAAGGCTGGAGGGGCTTGAACCAGGATAGTAACAGTGGAGATGTTTGGATGCTATATATATTACAAAGCTGCAGCCAACATGATTTGCTGGAGGATAGAATGTGTAATACTACTGCATCAAAGGTGGTATAATAAGGCAATGATAGGAAGGAGATAATGACAGTAATGAAGGAGACTATCGGTTTCACTGCATCATCACTAGTATTAGTATTTTAACAATAAAAATCTTTCTCCATTTAATAATGAGAAACAGTACTTTCTGGTTTTCACATTTTATTTCTTTAATCATAGAAAGCAGTTTATTTTTATTATTTATTTGCTCCTTGGTAAACTGTCTATTCTTGTTCTTTGCCCATTTAGGTATTAGGGACTTAATACAGAAACAATACAATTAACTCATGAAGAATCCTATCCGGTATTACATTCTTATACTGGTTAGACTATATTTCCTGGTTCTTTGGATCCAATAATTACTCTGTTTTTGTGCCAGCAAACACTATTATAATTACTGTTGACTTATTAAGTTTTACTACCTGGCATTGCTTCCCATACCCCTAATTATAATTCTTTTTCTACCTTCTAAGTGTTCTTTGATGGTCTTCCACATGAATTGTTGAACTGTCAATTTCAACATTTGATTACAATTGCAAAAAAATTCAAATTATTTTAAAGGAACACTGATATCATTATAATATTCATATTTTCCACACAGGAAGATGTAAGTCTTTTTTTTTTTTGAGACAAGGTCTTACTCTGTCACCCAGGCCGGAGTGCAGTGGCATGATCATAGCTCATTGCAATCTCAAACTCCTGGAGTCAAGTGATCCTCCTGCTTCAACCTCCCTGGTAAGGAGTACAGGTGTGGGCCACTGTGCCTGGCTAATTTTTTTTAAAAAGTTTTTTGCAGAGATGGGGTCTCACTATGTTGCCCAGGCTGGTTTCAAACGCCTGGCCTCAAGCAATCTTCCTGCACTGGCCTCCCAAAGTGCTGGGATTACAGGCAACCAACCTAGAAGATTTATTCTTAATTCCAATATTTTTTTAAATCTCTTTCTTTGTGGTTTTCGTCAGGTGGGTCGCATCTCAGTCTTCTTGTCCCTCAGTATTTTAACTTTGTTGCTATGTGAATGGATCTTAAACTATTGTCTCATCCTCCACTTCCTTGTCTTCACATCTCAGGTGGTGGCTTATATAACTATCAAATTAGGTATTACACAAAATGGATGAGGCTAAAGCAGAAAAAGTTACATAGTAAAGGAGGTATCCAGTAATTCTTAAATTAAAATACAAAGAAGCCAACGAGGAAAAGTATTATAAAACAAATGATGCGAACACGGTAATGGAAGGAATTACCTTTTCAAAAGATGCACATCCAAAACACAGGGAAGAAATGGCACCTTTTCAGAAATCCAAGATTTTGAAAGAGCTTTTGGGTAAGGATAAAAGGAAAGGTAAACACAAAGGAGAAAGTACAGTAGAATAACAATATGAGAGATACTGGGACTATTTCCTAATACAGTTGATAAAACTGGTCCAGAGGCAAAATGTATGAGTGTTAGAAAATTTATCCAGATACCTATTAAAACATGTGTCAGATAAATTCTTAAGTTGACATAAAAACAACTGCTTTTCTCTGAAATTTGAGAAAATAAAGAGGGGAAGTATTTCTCTAGGCCTGAATATAACCAAAACAACTGGTTGATAAGGTAATGTGACAGAAAGAACAAGAATGTATTTGTGTTACATTGGAATTTGAAAGAGTAAAGGAAGAGAGAACACTGGCTAAAGTGAGACATGTGCTGCCCAATAAAATTTCCTGCACTGATGGAAATATTCTTTATCTGCACTATCTGTTATGGCTGCCACTAGCCACATGGGGCTATTGAGCACTTTAAATGTGAATGGTGTAGCTGAAGAACCAAATTTTATTCAATTTTGAAATCATTTTAGATTCACATAGGAGTTGAAAAAAATCACACAGAGAGTTCCTGTAAACCCTTTCCCCAGTTTCTCCCTAATGATAACACCCTAAGTCACCACAGTACAACGATCAAAACCAGGATACCATCAACTACGGCCCTCATTTAGATTTCACCAGTTTTATAAGCACTTACTCCTTCCTCTCTCTCTCCCTCCCTTCCTTCTATAATAACTACCGCCATAATCAGAATACAGAACTATCCCATCACTCCTCAAAAAATCCCTCATATTGCCCTCTTGTAGTCACACCCTTGCCCAAACCCTAACCTCTGGCAAACGATGGTCTGTTATCCATCATAATTTTGTCATTTAGAAAATGTTTTACGTGTGACATCATATAATATGTAACCTTTTAAGATTATCTTTTTTCACTTAACATAATGTTTCTGAGATTCATTCACATTAATGCACATGAAGATGGCTGCCTAGAGACTTTGAATGCTAGTTCTTCTCAGAAAGAAGAACCAAAGTCATGGGTGAATAATCATAACTTAAACAGAATATAAAGGGGAAAGTGCTAGAGTCTAGCGAAGAACCTACAGGAAGAAACTAAGGCACAGAAAAAGAAGGAAGAGGCGGGCAGATATTGCCAAGGAACCTGGTATGTATTTTTAGCTCCCTTTTGCCCCTGCAGCAGACCACCGGTATCTGAATCGTCAATGAGCTCCTCTACCCTCGTGAATCTAGACAGGACTAGGAATCTAGACAGGACTAGGAAACCTTCAGGAAAGGTTTCCCAAAATAAAGAGATGTATGTACATAATTTTGAAGGATCAATGAGAGTGAGTTAGACAAAACAGAAGGGAAGAATACTCCCAGCAGAGA